GGGCCTCAAAAAATAGGGTAAATGGGAGTAAGAATAATAAAAAGGATAATTGGGTGATGGGTTTGAAGCATAGGGAGAAGAAGGTGCCTAGGCAAAAGACTCGGTTGCTTTAAATAATCTAATATGAAGTAAACGGCAATGGCAATTGAAGGCCCATTGCAGCCGGATTTCAGACAGCCAGTGATTTTCATGTGTAGCAGGGACCAATCGACAAGCGAGGAAGATGGGCTAAATGAAGGTGAGGCCATAACCCAGAATCCCTGTAAATGGCATCTGAAACCAGTAGTTGGTATGATTATGCTTAACTAAATCCATTTGTAGCGACGCACTATTAGGCGAGATTGGAGGAAACGAGATCACATAATGCTGTGAATAGGCAAATGAGTGATATTAAGTGGGATTGAAAGAATGAGACACAGCACTAGAAGCTAAGGGACAAAAATAGGAACGAGGAGAGATGCCACAACAGTTAGGCAGAAAATATGTCAAGGGGATTGCCTTCACTTGTCACTTTTATATGTTGTATATCTGTGCTAACGATAGCGCCTCTCGGTTGCGATGCCGGTGAAACGTATGGGAATGTACCAAGTCAATGGGATGATGGTGAAAATCACGAATACTATAGCAGAGGACGTATGGTTAGGTACGTTTCACAAGGTCTCTCTAATACTCCGGTCAGTTAATTATAACTCAATGTTTTTATCATGAAAAGGATAAATTTATGTGGATGATGCACAATGGTATTTAGTTTATTTTAGCTCCCCTGTAGAGGATAAATAAAGGAAGATATTATAAATCTGAAGGATAATGAACGTTGCTCATTTGCTGTTAAATGATTTTTCATTTCGAAGGAAAAGTTTGTTGGAGGGAGTTTGTGAATTGATCTCATCGGCCTAACTTAAGGAGATTTACCGCAGAGTGAAGGATGTTGGATTATACGAATAAGTCCAGGGCCCACAGTCTTACAACCTTAATGAATCTGTGCAAATCATTCGTCTGTCAAATGACAAATGTGACTACGGCTTAGCACAGGTTCATCAGGGTCCCAGGACGGTGGGCTGAGGACGTCTTCGCACAACCCAACAGTCTTTACTCTGCGGCAATCCTCCTGCGGTTTCCGGTGAGACCAATTCACGAATTAATTACAACCAATTTTCCTATATATATATATGATCTTGTATTTTGTTTAATTGCAGTCATAAGTGTTCAAAAATAGTTGGCAGATATTTCTGTCAAGGATTGTAATTTGGATATAAATATTCACCAAAATTTTGGGAAACGCACCAAAATTCAGATATCCCCATTGTATTTGCAACCAGTTAACAACATCTGACACTATACATTTCTTATCACAGCAATTCAGATCGTCTATGTGTGTTCACCTCGAATGTTGCTCATCTTTGTAGGTTTCACGAATATCGTACTGCACTGTATAAGGCAATTTTTTCGTCAATAAAAATACTCATAATTCCTCCATTGAGTTTAATAAAGGAAGAAATACGTAAAAAAGCTCAAATATGATTACTTGAGGAGATCTGTGGAAAAAATGCAAATTTTGAAGCGGAAAACTGGAATGTACGTACACTACATGTCATGGTAACAAGCTAAAGAAGGCTTACTATAGGTAAAGGCCTGGCATAAGTGACGAGAAGCGAAAAATAATGGCTGTGGTAGATTAGCGAAAATTAAAAAAAATCTGGAACAAGTTAAGGGATTTACCCAAACAGGAAAACAGGATCCGGTGAGCGACAGACGAGATGTTCGTCAGCTGCAAAGCGAAATTCGTTAAGAGTCGCGGAAATTCTACCCCGCAGAGGTGCCTTGGCTTTAAAAGGTTGCTTGTCTTCCTTTGAATGACTCGCAGCAATGCTGTCACAAATGACAGCAGCTGGAGGATGAAGTGTGGAGCTAGCAGGAAACGGAGTCCGTAAAGAAAATGGAGAGGCAGGTGAAACAGATGTTGCAGAATCAGAAGCAGCAAAGCGCTTAGGACATGTTGGGAAGCTTGGATGAAGGCTGCGCCGTGAACCAAGTCTCAAGGCAAGCTGGGTCAATTGAAGAGGCAAGCAAGTGGTTTCCTGGAGAGCTAGATGAATGTGGTGAGTATTTATGTTGGGATCGGTAGCTTCAGAGGGAGCAGCTATTGATGGAAGAAGGTTAAGAAGGTTAAGATCGCAGGCGATTGGCTGCATCAGACGTACAAGTAGACGTGGGTGTATTAAGGAGGGTTGATGATGAAAAAAAGGATAAAAAGGTTTTTCATGGAGATCCTCATCGTGTATAGTGTCTGGGGCTGAATAGGAAGAAGTTTGTTCGTTTTTACTGTCTATGGAAGATACAACAGAGGACTGAAGCAGACAGCGGATAAGGTACTGGAACCAGTCTTCAAGATTAGAAGGATTCTGTAAATGATGAAAAATAGGAAATAGTATGCACAATAAGTGACAAATACAAAAGGGAAACCTTTACATTACCTTTAAAATAAATCTAATGCATGTAAGGCAATAAAGAATAGAACGGTATTCCCTAGATAAATTAAAGTTGCGAGAATTTAGCTAAAGACAAGGATAAAACTAAGATATGATGAAAAACTGGGTTTTGAAGAATTCCTTAATGAAAAATTGTGACACGACTCTCCATTTCAAAGGGAAAGTTGGTTGGAAGGAATTGGTGATGTGGTCTCACCGGAAACCGAAGGAGGATTGTTGCGTAAGGAAGACTATTGAATTTTGCGAAGAAGTCCTCGGCTAAGCACAGTTTTATCGGGGTCGAAGGACAGTGAGCCGAGGACTTCTTCGCACCATTCAGTAATCTTCCTCACGCGACAATCCTCCTTCAGTTTCCGGTGAGACCAAATCACGAATGCCTTCCAATAAAATTTCCCTTCGAAATGGAGAGTCATGCCACAAGGATAAGAAGAGCCTATTTAAACAAAGTTTAAAGAATAAATTCAATGAGAAGAAAGATGAAATAATAAAAATGTCTGTTATTCCCGAAATTGAGTTTAAGCTTTTGGCAGGTCAACATTATGGGATAAACAAAAGGGGAAACTTGCAGAAGACATCCGGCAAATAGCCCTCGCCCACTGAGTATCGTAGCCGTCTTCCTTCTTACTCATCCCAGGAATAGTTTTCTTCGGAATATTTTCTTCCTTTTCACCCTTCTGCTCCTGATATTCAGCTGTTTCTGTTTCTTTAATTATCTTAAGCTGGCCTAAATTATAGGTCAGGTCTGGCAGAGTAGATTCCGTTACCTCAGCACTAATATAATCTGCTCCAAAGCTGCTAGGAAGTTTAGGAGAAATAAGCGATGTTGGGATAGGCGACCGTGATGTTTGACAGATGTAGGTGGGTCCACTTGGCAAAGCTGATGCAACTTCGACATTCCTAAAATCTACGGAAGAAAGATTCATGGGCTTGCTAAAGATAGAAGAGAAGACAGAAGAGGTGGTGAAGAGTCTGAAGAGTAAAGTTACAAGAACTCGACAGTGAGAGGCTTCTATAGGTAGTGAGAAGTTGAGAAGAGAGGATTCGAGGTTCGAAGCCGTGGGATCCAGATCAGGAGCAAGGCAGCTAAGCCAACGTCTAGCTAGGAAAGTAAACTAAATCAAAATAAGGGGGAAAAAATAAATGCTAGTAGAAAAACAATTGCAAAACAGAATATAATGAGAAGTAAAAGAAGGAAAAAAAAGAGTGATGAGAGAGTAAAGGAAAAAAAGAAAGAGCTTTAATGCATTTTTATAAGGGCTGAAAGGTGATGAAGGACTAGTAGTTGAAGTTTCCCGCTATCATATGAGTAGACCTTACGTATCCATTGAATTTCACACAGCCTTGCTTCCCAAAAGGCATTCTTATCCAGGGTTGACTGGACTGCGGTTTAGACTTAGCCTGAGTCTCATCAGCACTCCCAACAGGAATCTAATCCTGATAGCTAGTGCAGTGTTAAGACCGCGCCACAATGCCATAAATGTTATCGGCCACAAGAAATAAGTGAATTTCAAAACAAGCTATGTCTTTTCTATATCAAATTTTTATTATTGAAATTGTCCCTGAAGCAGGACTATTAGTATATCATGAATTAGAGCTTTAGTCACTCTAGTGGTAGCATGTCGAAATTATACTCTACACTACACGTTCAATTTAGTTGAGGGTGCTGTGAGACCCAGGCGAGATCGAAACTAAACTCATCCTTGATACGAATACGTCTTGGAAACAATGCCAAATGGGAGACCTAATCATTTTATTTAAATAAAATTTACTTTTAGTCCTTAAAAAACCCTACAACCAAAATCGATTAAGTATGCTAGGGATTGCAACTTGCTTGTTATAAAAACCTGGTATATAAGAAGAAAAGTAAGGTTGCGAGGAACCTCTTGGCTTAGAATTGCTGATCATACTTAAATATCGAGTTAAAATGTGTAATGAATATTATAATAACGTTAATATTCAAAAGTATGAAGACCAAGATGGTGTAGTCTTTTTTGTGGTCGCAGTCTTCTTCCGTTATATAGAAGTTGTTTGACCTTGTTTTCGCAACTTAGTCATATTGGTAGGAAGACTTATAGGAACGCCCCTTGTCCTGAGTCCATTGTATACATAATTATTTCCAAATTCGGACCGTGGACGCGGTACATTCACAAACTTTTCGCCGGCATCGTAGTCGGCATCATCAGTGAGTCTTGTCATTCGTAGCACCGTATTACAACTCGTCAAATGGACAAATGAAGCCTATCCTTTGATCAAACATGTGCTAAACACCTAGTCCGAAGTCGTCTGCCATAGTAGTTGTCATGATTCCCAGCATCTGACAGTGGACTTGATACA